GGCGTGCACATGCGCACAGAGAGAGAGAGAGAGAGAGAGAGAGAGTTGGGCTTCATTTCCTTAGATTCAGGCCATCAGTTTCCCCTTGCTTCTGGGAAATAAATTTATCCTAAAGGTTCCTTTGTATTTCTACAAAATGTGGGGTTTTCCTCCATTGTTAGCCTCTTCCAGTGCCCCTATTTTTGTCTGCAGTCAAAACTTTTAATTTCTTCCTCAATTTCTTCACTTTTAAAATCTATCCTAGCACCTTCTTGATAAAATCAATGAATACATGAGCAAACCCGCTACCCGCCTCGCCACTCTTTCGCTGCTTGGTCATGTGATTAGACGCCAGCCGTCTTGGAAACATAAGCTTTCTCAGGCCCCTGTTCTCCTTTCCCTCCTCAAGTGTCTCAAGGTAAGGGCTTGATGCTGGTGTAAATCTCATTTGCCTTATTTCTTTATGGGGGCAGGGGCTGTAGCAGACTGATAACAGAGGGAAGTGAAACATTGGTTGGCCAGGGGTGACTGCCAAGGGGGTCTCACACGCACCTTTGAAATGATAGGCTTCATTTATTGATTATGTACCATCAAGTCGAAGTTGACTCTTAGAAGTCACATAGATAGATTTTCTTGAGGATGATCTGTCCCCAGCCTTCAGGTCTTCCAACTTAGTTGCTGGTCGTCCTCTTCTTCTCTTTCCTTCCACCTTTCCCAGTATTACAGACTTCTCTAGAGAGCTAAGTCTTCGCATTAACCACAGGTTAGAGTCCCAAATTGTTCCATTATATTTGTACACCACCTTATCCGTCACTCCTCCTTCCTTGCTCATCCGTGAGCTGCGTATCTACTCCAGATCTTTAAGCAGGAGTTATATTTTATAAGCTTTCCAAAATTTGCTCTTCAAGGAAGGTTTAAATGGGGAATCAGCTAATCAAACCAAGCTTTATCACCATACCGTTTCCTAGGGATGGCCCAACTCTCAAAACCTTGTTTTCCTTCCCTTCCCTTCCCTTGCCTTCTTTTTTTTTTTTTTTTTTTCAGACTGACACCGACGTTGTGGTCCTCACTACAGGGGTGCTAGTGTTAATAACATTGCTACCCATGATCCCTCAGTCTGGGAAGCAGTACCTTCATGACTTTTTTGGCATCTTCGGCCGCCTTTCATCTTGGTACTTGAAGAACCCAGGTAAGGTGCTCAGATGGTCTGGTAACCACAAGGTTCTGCTGCTGCTTTCAGTTGGGGAAAGAATCTCTGGTTTTAGGTAGGATGCAGGCCATGGTTGGCATCTGCTATGTGCTTCATCGAGCCCATTGGCAGTCTATTTCCAGCAGAGTATGGGGTATTTTCATAGCTAGGGCATGTATTTTTAGCCTCTCACCTGCCCAGTTTGCCTTAAGGCTGATCTGGAGTTTATGGTGCCTCTGAATGTAGAGGTTCTGTTGAATCCACCCCATTATCAAGCTTTCTCCTATGGTTAGCACCCCATACTCTGAGGTAATGCCTCTACAGGTACATTGGAATTGCAACTTCTCTTAGCCCTGTTGGTTGAGGTACTCCCAACATGGCTCATGGGGGAAGGCTGAAACAGCATCTTAACTGTGGTCAGTATTTCTATCTTGCTGTATAGAACAAGGAGAAAGTTCAAGGAGACCTCAAGAACCTTTAGGAATGCCATCAAATTTCATTTTGGGTACGGAAGGTCTTTTTTCCAGAATTGGGACTGAGAGAGGGTGATAGCGAAAGAGGATCGGGGAACATGTGTGGAGTTGTGCAAGAGGTGATGTGGTGGTATGTTTTATGTTGCTTTCTCCCCAGGCCATGTGGCAGAGATCTACCTGGTCCATCTCCATGCTAGCGTATATGCCCTCTTTCACCGCCTTTACGGAATGTACCCTTGCAATTTCGTCTCCTTTCTGCGCTCTCACTACAGTATGAAGGAAAACCTGGAGACCTTTGAAGAGGTGGTCAAGGTAACGAAAAGATGCAGAAGCAGGTTGATGGTCTCACTGTTGGAAGAGCAAAGTATCTTGTAGAACTTTGCGATGGTTGGTGATTTACCACATTGACTTAACTGGGTTGAAACCTCCTAGCTTACAATTAGACCCCTCTTAAAATAAAAGTGGTAAGGAGAGACAGAGCAGAAATCTACCCCATCTATTGGATTAAATTAATTTAGGGAATTTTGGGGGGAAACCTTAGATGTTGCATATAGAAGATCCAAAGTTCTCCAAGTGGGGCAGGGAAGGACTTCCTTTTGGAATCCTGAAGAACTGTTGAGTGAGCCATGGATGAGCTTGGTAGCTGGGCAACAAGCTACAGTATCCTTTTCTTAAACTTGGGATATTGTGCAAACTTAGCTCTTGTGTTTAGTCAACCATGGTGTGACTTAGCCTGTTGTGCAAAATTGGCCTGAGGTGGCTTAATAAACCATGGATAAGTTAAACCATGGCTTCGTATGATGGAAACTACACCATACAAGAAAGCTTGTTATATTCCTGAGAACTGCTGGAGCTCCTGTTTCAGTACTCAGGATCTCTGAGTACAGATGGGAAATCCTCTGTCTGAAACTTGGGAAATATTCTTCCGGGCGACTTTGGGAATATTGTTTTGGCAAGGCCGTTCACCTGACTCGCTTAAGATAGCCTTCTGTCTTCCTGAAATGGATTTTTCCTGCACATTCCAGCTTCCAACAAACCAGCTGAAAGATTCTCTAGTGTTTGAAGTTTAAGAAGTACGGAGCAAAAGATTGGCTGTAAAGGATTTTGCCCTGAGACTTGACTCTTCCCACCATAAAATTAAAAAAAAACACAAACACGGGCCAGAACGTTGGCTTCTTTGAACGTCCCAACCCTGAAATGGGCCATTTTGGAGCTGAGCTTGTCTTAGGATTGTTCTGCTGGGAACCAATCTATGGTATTTGGAAATCGGTTCACTTCTTGAGTGCTGGAAGGAGCTTGTTCTTGGGTGGGATTCTTCAACCCTGAATTAGATGTCCTATCAAACCAAACTGTTGCCTTGTCCTTTTCTCACAGTGTTGAGCTGTTCACTTGGTTTGTGCCAATTATGAGACCTCTTTCTTGTCCTTTTAAGCCAATGATGGGTCACGTCCGCATCCATCCGGAGCTGGTGACCGGGTCCAAGGATCACGAGCTGGACCCTCGGAGGTACCTACCTACCTTCCTCTTTCTCATAACAGACAGTTGGAAGTGAACATCCTTTTCTTTTTGATTGCCCGTTCTTTTGCCAGAGAAACCTTTTCCCCTCAAAATGCGAAGCGGCAAGCCATTGAACGGGTGAAAACTGACGGGTGCTTGTGCCCCCAATAGGTGGAAGAGGCTAGAAACGCACGACGTCGTGATTGAGTGTGCCAAAATCTCCCTGGATCCAGCAGAAGCATCCTATGAAGACGGCTACTGCTCGACCTCCCTGCAAGCCTGCGCCCACCTGTTGCATCGCCCCGCCGACCCCGATGCCATCCCTTACGTTATTCCCCACAATAGCTTGGGTAAGATACTTTAATCCTCCCAAACGTATAAACTGCTACAATATTGCCCGAGGTAGAAATAAAACTCATCCAAACCAAGTTAGCAGTTAGATCAGTTTTGGCTTTAGGAACACGACATGGTGGATTCAGCTCTGAATGCTTCCTGCGTTAGGCCAGTCATTCTCACTCTCTCAACTGGCCTCACAGCACCAAATAGGGCTGAGCCTTTCCCATGTGCTGCTTTGAGCTTCTGGATGAAAGGCGAGGCAGAAATCAAACAGGTAAAACTTCCTGGTTTTATATTTCTGTCCTTTTTGATGCAGGAGCCTCTACTTCGACTCCTTATTCTGCTTCTCGGCTAGCGCTCTCCCAGATACCAGGACAGCTACCTCAGATTTTGAACTTTCAGTCCTCAAGTTTGTCAGCGGAGCCTCAGCAGGTAACGGGGTGGGATTTGTGGCCTTGGAGGACAGAAGTGAACGTTTTCCTTTGGGGGTCCAGCTGGAATGGCTTTGGGGGCCATTCCGTTGAATTCCCCTACCTTCCCACCTGTAGAGGCTCTGCCCCAAAATCCTTATTCTGCTGGTGTAGATGGAAAACCTGTGGAGAACTTAGTTATGCCATCATGACCTTGGTTGTGGAAGAAAAGCAGGCTGTAAAAAACGAAGGACCTATTGTCGCAGGAGTTGTAGATGCATTAATAATGTAGATGGATTTCCATAGTTGGGTTTCTGCGTAAGCTCTCTCTGTTGAGCCTCCCTGGTAGATCTCGGACAGGGAGTGTGCGGGGAAGCTCAGGCTGAAAGCAAATGCGAGAAGCCCAATTTCTCATCCCCTGGAGTACCAGAAGCTCTTGCAATTATTTTTCAGGCACCTTTCTGGAGTCCCTCTGCTGTTTGTGGCATGACCACCCCCCCAACTTCCCCTGGCATCGTTCTGGAGTCTTCGCAGACTTCTTCCCAGCCTTATACTAAGTTCTTCAGCATACCCGGTACGTCTGCTTTTCCCAGTCCTTCCCCCAGACATGCAGTCTTGGATTTGTGAGGGCTCCTCCCCAGCCATTACATTACCCCTCTGGTGTACTGAGACATTTATTCCAGGGGTGGGGGACGCTAAGAAGCTGAAACTGAACAGCTATACCGCTTTGAGGATGGTTGAGTCCCATTCAGTGTGTTGAGATGGTGTGGTGGGTGCATTCACAAAATGACTGGTGGGATGCCCAGTTGGAACCTGCTGACTTAACTGGAAAGTTGTATGAGCCTTCCAGATGTCCTGTCATTCCAGGGGAGAATTTTGATGTGGATCGAAGGTATTGTTGCAAATAAATGCTTTTCTAGACTATGTTGCTTTGCTTTGGTGACTGTTGGCTTCCTATGCCATTTTTTTTCTTTAATAAATAATTAAGGCCATTGAGGCAAAGGGGTTACCTTGGTTCCTCTTTTGCTAAAGTTTGCTAAAGTTTATTGGGAATGACCTGTTATCTACTGTTAAGCCGTTGGGAAAGGAACTTCTCTAGCAGCGCTGACCATCGCTCCTCTGTTCTGCATTTCAGATGACTTCGTTTCAAGTTCAGCCCCTTCAGCTACTGCTGCGCCTTTGAAGAAGGTAAAGATTAGAGTTTCCAGGGTTGGCAAAACGGGAGCTCCATCTTTGACCTGTGGGTAGAGGAACGTGATTGTGAAATGGGCTGGGTTGAGTTGATTTGGGCTAACCAGTCAATGCTTTGTGATAGTAGATGTGCTGTAGCAATTTTGCTTCATCCTTTGCCTTTAGGATAAGCAATTTATGTCAATTTGTATCATTCCATGGGGTATATTTGACATCAGTTCAGTCTTCTGCAATGGGACCCCCCCCAAAAAAGAAACCCATTGTCTGTCTTGGAAATGCAGGGGACAGTTCCTTTAAGAGCAATGATTCTCCACCCCTCCCACCTCTCTGTTCCCACTTTCAGTTCAGACCCCAAGGACATCCTCCAGGTGTGCAGATCCCAGAATTCTTGGCAGTGGCTTATGCTGGCTGGGAGCTTCTGGGAGTTGAAATCCACCTCTTGGAAGGGAGCCTGTATTGGAGGGAGAGGGTTGTTGAAGAGGGTGCCTCTGCAATTAGGTTTGAACTGAATCCTCACATTCTTCTAGGAGGAGAAAGCAGATTCCGGGAGGCCTTCCCTGTCCCGACAGCAGAATATCATAAACAGAACTTTGGGTGAGTTTCCTTGCTGAATAAGTGCCCTTCCCTCATCTCTTCCAATTATATTGACTGAATTTGCATGACAAACTTCTTCAGAACTGAATTGTTCCCCTGGGCGTCTTCCTGTCAAGTGGAGCAGCTTAAGAACCTTCAGTGATGCTTGAAGTAGGAATTCTTGACCCCTCCTCTTCTCTTCCTAACAAGCTCGGGTTGAATATGGCTAGTCTCTTCTTGGCTTTTGGTATTGGGTTCCTTGAGGAGACAAACCAGAATTCTTGTTGAAGCTCATCAGGGTCTCCCATAGTTGAGTTTATCTACTTTTCATAGTAGAAGAGTCTGAGCAAGTTTGGGGCAAGCCAGCAGAATTTGGGGAGGAGAAAAGGGCTGGTGGAACGTATTTGTGTTACTAAGGTAATTTTGAACTTTATTTTTTGTTTTTATTTTTTTGGCTTTGTCTATCCAGACTCCCAAGGCAGTAAAAATTCTGTAACTTTAAGCGATCTTCCCAACATCCTGGGTGACCTGGAGGCGTCTTGTGAAGACAGTGGAGAGAAAGACAGAGAGGAAGGTGAGTTTGTAGTTGTTTCCTTACTATCTAAGAACAAAACCTGCTCAGCTTTGTGCTGTGAGTCTTTTGGAGCAATTTTGTTTGACTGATACATTCTGCCTTTCTTTCAAGAGGTCCAAGTAGTTGATAGAGCACTCCCTTCTCAACCTTATTGCCCAATCGCTACCTTGAGAAATGGGTCAGGCTTGAGAGAGTGGCTGACCCAAGGTTGCCCAGTGAACCATAGATTTGCACCCAGGTCTCCCTCGTCTTATTCCTGTTCTTTAACAGCCACATGTAGGCAGAACTTTCAGAGCTCTTGAGGCTGCCTGTGACTTCTCTATCTGGAAAAACTGGATTAATCTGTATCTCTTGCCAGTTCTAAAGAATGTCGTCTTAGCTTGGCACAGAGAGTCTTCTGCACTTCAGATTTGTTCTTGCATGTAGTTCTGGAGGTTACAGTCTGCTCCATCCCATATGCAGCGTGTAGTTCTGAGAAAAACTCATAGTTCTTCTATTCAGGTGATTTAGGCCCGAGCATCTCACTGAACGATATGGTTCCCCAAAGTGTCAGAGGCAGAAGTGCATTTTCAGGGGCTGCCTTTCTGAAAATAATCCAGATCCGTTCTCCAGAGGTTATGGGTTTGCAGCTCTCCCATTGGCCAGGTGGCCAGGGAATTCTGGGAACTGGAGCTCTGGCTTCTGATGTGGATGGGGGAAACCTCCCACCTGCCCACCCTGGCAAGTTTGCAGACAGAACTGGGCCTCAGTAAATGGAATCCCCCCCCCCTTTTCTTCAGATGCCATCTCCAATGAAATCTCTGAGATCACAGCGGCCGATGCTGAGCCTGTAGTGCCTCGGGGAGGGTTCGATTCTCCATTCTACCAGTCCAGCGAGAGTCTCTCCGGCTCTCGGAAGTCCCATTCGGTGGCTTCAACCGGCCCAGGGCAGCTCCCAAACGCTGAGCCCTTGACATCTTTTCTGGACCAATCCGGGCTCGAAGGCACACGGGATACTTCAAAGCAAGCCTTCACACCCATCGACTGGCCCTGCCGCGATGCCGAGGAGAGTCCTGTGGGGCCCCAGGAAAATTGGGCCTCCACCGATCCAGGCATTTTCACCCCCAGCCCTTGTAAAATTCCTGCTCGCCAAAGGGCTGACATTCGGAGTCAGCAGCTTCCAGGATATGAGCATCTGTTTGAGGTGGCGTTGCCGAAGACCGCCTACCTTTTTGTCAGCCGGAAGACTGAAGAGCTGCTGAGAAGGGGCAAGGCAGGACCCGAGGAAGATGGCTTTGTTTCCGCTTCCCCTTTGGATGTGTTAGACAAGCTCCTTGAGCGTGGGGCAGATGCTCACAGCCGAGAACTGAACAAGTAAGTGGCAGTACCCTTGTTAGAGCTGCCCAAGATAGCCTTCCCTCTTTTGTTGCTAACTTTCTGCTAAGGAAGTGTTCGAGGAAAGCTGCAAAGGGAAGGAGAGCAGATCGAGAGGTAGGAAAAAGGGGGCTCTGGGTTTCCCGCTTCGATTGCATGGCAAATTAAGGATGTCTCCCTACTCCTGCTTGGTCTGGCTTGCAGTGGAGCACCTGTGACTCCGTGCTGATGATTTGGGGCAAATACCATTCTGTTTTGGCTTCTGACAGTACCCCTGGGGACTGCTTCAGACACAGCTAAATCTGAACATTGGCCTGCTGTTCCGTTCAGTCAGGACCCTGGGGATCGCTCAGTTTAGCTACGCTGGTTTTGAACGTGCAGCTCATATAAGGGGGAATTGTGATGGGCCTCAGAAGGGTCTGCTGGGAACCTGTGTTTCAAGCCCTTTTCTCATCTTCCCTCTTGATGCTAGGAAAAGAAGAAGAATATATTAAATGTATATGCCACCCGTCAGTTGTCCTTGCCAAAGGCCTGGGCGAAAAGCCATGTCTTCAGGGCCCTTTGAAATACCAGGAGGGTGGGGGCTGTTCAGATCTCGGGAGGAACCCCATTCCAGAGGCAGGGGCTGCTACAGAGAAGGTGCGCTTCCAGGGTCCCAATGGGTGGCATGGTTTAATCCATGGAAACCAGAGTGTGCCAAACCTGCAGGGTCAAACTGGCTGGGCAAATACTATGGGGGACAGGCGGTCCCTCAAATAACCAGGCCCTATGCCATGTCGGGAACGTACAGCAGCCTGTTGACCAGTCCATCACCCGAGGTAAAACCTCTGGTGGATTACCAGCAACCGGATTAGATTTGAGGGAGTGGCTGATATTTGTTTTCTCATTTCTAGGTTATCCTTGCCAAGCCGATCCGCTGATTGGACTCACTTTGGAGGTGAGCGAGTTTTTCCAGCCAGGATCCCTGTGGTTGGCGGTCTTTGCCCGGCTGTGCCTTCATGTTGCTTTGCCTCCGGGGCTAAACCATAATGCAGTTTCTTTAGCAATGGCTTGGCAGAATGTGTGAATCCTTTAAGATGTGAATCCTTTAAGTGAGTCTGCACATCTTAAAGTTGCCCAGAGAAACATGGCAATAGACTGATCAACGTCTCCGGTGGCTTGAGATGGACGACTTGGCCTGAACGGGCCGGTTATGAGTTCAAGTTCTTGATTCTCGTACGAGGCCTGGAGATCAGATTGCCCAGTTTGCCCCCCCTGCCCTGCAGAATCAGAGTCCTGAGCCCCGTCTTTGGCTTCACGGTCCCCCCTGCAGGTTCTCCTCCTTCCGACGAGATTCGCACCCTCCAGAATCAGCTGCGCTTGCTGCAGAACCAGCTGCTGTACGAACGCTTCAAAAGGCAGCAACACGCTGTCCGGAACAGGCGCCTCCTGCGGAAAGTGATCAGAGCTGCCGCCCTGGAGGAACACAACGCAGCCATGGTGAGCGGGCCGTGCAAATCCTGCACAGCGGATGTACGGTCTCCGGGCCTTTGCCACACTTCCCTGCGTGACCCCTGTGGCTCAGCCGTTTCCCTGTGTAATTCCTGGCGGTGAGAAGATCGAGGTCTAACCATCCATCCATCCATCCATCCATCCATCCATCCATCCATCCATCCATCCGTCTCCCCTTTATTTATTTATAAAACATTGAAACCACCCAATAGCTGGAACTTTCTGGGTGGTTTACAATAAAACGCTCTACTTAGCATCTGTCTATTATCTATTGTCTGTCTATCATCAGTCTATTATCTATCCTCTATTATCTATTTCAGGTTAAAACATATATAATCAAATCAAATCAAATACAAACTAGGCTGCAGCAAGGTGGCCGTCAAGGTCCGAAAAAATACAAGCATTTAAGAAGTAGGATTCAATGCAGCATGATATATTTAATTAAATAACTCAGAAGGCAACCTTTTCCAAGCCTCTTATTCTCAGGGCTTTGCTTTTTTTTTTTTTTCTTCTCCCCCTGAGCCAAAAAGTATCTTTCGTCTTTCAGTGGGATGGCTAAAGACAAATGAATGGGGCCTTGCTGAGTCTTGCCCAGTATAGCAAAACAACCCATTTCCCTTTTGATAAGGAGAAAGAGTTGGCGAAGGCGGGGCGGGGCCTTTGACTTCTGATCTCTGCCTCTGGACAGAAAGACCAGCTGCGCCTCCAGGAGAAGGACGTCCAGTCCCTGAAGCTCAGCCTGCAGAAGGAGCAGGCCAAACACTGCAAGTTCCAGGAAGAATATGACAGCATGGTGGCTCAGCTCCACAGTCAGATCCGCCAGCTGCAGCACGAACGGGAGGAGTATTACAACCAGAGCCAGGAGCTGAAGGTATAACGCCCAGCTGGGGGCTGCACGAGGCGGCTTTCTCAGAGGAGTGGCTGGATTCTCAAGCGCTCCTTCCGCCCTGCCCATTCCCCCCAGAAAAGAAGCAACCCGTGAACGGGGAGGTCTCAGTGGGTGGGCATAGCTTTCTTTCCAGCTTCTCACCTGGGGTTGCCCCGACTCCCCCCTCCAAACCCAGCGATTTACTGAACAAACTAGCCATTCACGGTTTGTTCAGAAAAACAGAGACTCATCCCACTGCGGTTGGGAGCATGGCGCAAACTGGACGGATGTGTTTTCTTTAAACAGACCAAATTGGAAGACTGCTCCAACGTGATCCGAGACCTGCGGTCGGAGTTAAAAAAAGCCAGCAACAAGGTGTGCCACACGGAGTTGCTGCTGAGTCAAGTCTCTCAAAAGGTAAAAAGCTTGTTTATCTCCTGCTTTTCGTTCAAGAGCTCAAGTCAGCCTCACGGCCACGGGGGAGGAGAGCGTTGGCACTTTCTCTCTGCGTACCGTTAAAAACGCACAGACAACTTCGAAGCCAGCTTGTATGTTGTGGCTTACGAAGCTGTGATTTTAGACGCAGTTTAGCAGCATTTCCTTGCTACCTTCTGGTGGTTCCCTATTTTGCGAGCCTCTGCCCCTCTAAAAATTGATCTGGAAATAGAAATGCATCCTTGTTGTTAAGCTGATAGCGATGGGTGTGTTCTGTTCTAGCACACGATGGTTTCTCTCCCCAGATTTCAGATTTGCCCCGAATAGGCTCATCAGAGCATTCTGGGCGGTTTGTCTCTTTCTGGGTCTTCTAAAGTAGGAAGTGGTTTGTGGTGTTTTAGACACAATCTGGCCCCCGAAGCACATGACCCACCACCTGGTGCAGAAAATAAATTTGTGGAAGTGGATGGACCACGCTGATTAGCTAAACTAATCAGGCCCCAAGATATATCTGAGCAGATCATGATTAAAAACATTACAAGAGTTTCTTCCGTGAAGAGCCTTTATTTTCATTTGGCTGCCAAAGTTCACTAGAACATAATTTTTTTCATTTCGTTTCAAAGCAGGGTTAATGTGAGACTCTTTTTGCAACTTTGGCATTACGCACACCTACGTGCTGCTCTTCTGTGGAAGTCTGAAAGAAAAAAAAGCAGGCAGAACTTTGAATAGGTCACACATCTTCAAACTGCTGCACCAAAATTCAGAATATAAGTGGAAGGAAGATGTCTTTGCTCCTTTCTGGGGGTGGTACCTCCCTTCCTAGGGCCATGAGCACATTAATGATGCGTCACTATTGTAGAAAGAAAGGCAGACCATTAGGATCCTGACATTGAGAGAAATGCAGTTGCCAGAAACTGACAAACGGCCTGTGCATTTGGTTTTGCCTCTGTGTCGGGGTTTTCTGCCAAAGATGAAGGTAGTTTTCAGCATAAGACTTCTGCTTTTGTGTTCCTGTAAGGGTGGGCAGCTTCAGGATATAAATGATGCCAGTTACTTGTTTCAAAAGGTGCCTCGAATGTTTTGTCTTCAAGCTTTCTAACAGCGAGTCAGTCCAACAGCAGATGGAGTTCTTGAACAGGCAGCTGCTGGTGCTAGGGGAGGTGAACGAGCTCTACTTGGAACAGCTTCAGAACAAGCACGCCGACACCACGAAGGTAACATCCTTTGACCCGGTTCACGTTTGGGCCAACACGGCTGGTTTGCTTTGCCTCGTGCCCGTTGTGTAAAATTCAGCCGTTAGCCGTTTCTTCAGCGAACCACGGTTAGCATGCTCTATGAACCCAGCTGCTATTTGTCTTCCCTTGGGAGGTCTCTCAGAGGCTGAATTTCTCTCTTCTTCTTCTTCTTCTTCTCATCGTCTCCAGGAAGTGGAGATCATGCAGACGGCCTTCCGAAAAGAGCTGGAGAGAGCCAAATCTTGCCTCCTGCAGCAGAGCCAGCAGGTGGAAGCCTCTCAGAACCGGATTGCAGAACTGGAATCTCAGCTCACAAAAAAGGATCACCTCTTACTGGAGCAGAAGAAATATTTGGAGGACGTGAAAGTTCAAGCCAGGTTGCCTTGATGTCCTCCTGTGCCTTGATCTGTAGGGAGCCCTAAGCTAACTTAGAAAGTTTTGGAGGGATATTGGGGCAGGGGGGAAGGTAGGAAGGGGTGAAAGCATTAAAAACAAAACAAAACCCCAAACTATTTCTTTCTGTGTGTGAAGACCCAGAAGCTTATTAAGTGGATCTGTGGTAGTTTTCCCTTAAAAAAAATGTTTAGGGAACCATTAGTGGGGGGAAGCAAAAACTACTCTCTAGTTTAATTATTTGGAATCTTTTGGGTGTGCGTATGCACGCAAACTCCCATCTCTCCTTGCACAACATAGCCTCCTTTTATTCTGAGCAGCCCTGCTCACCTGCTTCACTGGTGTTTCTGCAAATCGTGGGATTATTGGGGCTGTATTAGATGTAGCTCCTAGGCTTTGAACCTAGTTTGGAGGGGGACAGCATTCTCGCATCTTAGAAAAAATGCAGGGGGGGGGAACTCCACCCATTCCTGGTTTCTTGCCAATTTCAGGGGCCAGCTGCAAGCGGTGGAGAACCAGTACAGAGTGCAGAAACGGATCACGCAGGCCTTTGAGTTGGACATCTTGCACTTGTACAGTTGCCTGCATGATGACCAGTTGCAGAAAAAACAGGAGGATGACAAAATGGAAACGGCGGAAATGGCTGACGAAAGGTGAATACGGGCTGCGTCGCTTTCTGGCTTCTCGCGATCAAAGCAAACCCGAAACGTTCCCAATTCCAAAGGAAGCCACCATGCGATACATCAGATTTACCTGGCAGGGCTTGTGGACTTCTCCTGTTTTGGAAAAGGCTCTACTGCTGTCCTTCTAAAGCCTCAAGTTCAGTAGATTTAACTGGAAGGGAAGGATTTTTTTGTTTTGTTTTGGGGGTTTTTTTTGGTGAAATCCTTTAACTTTAAAATAGGACCTGGGAAGACTCTAAAGGAGCCATACGTGTTTTTCTGCCAAATCTTTCCTTTTTTTGGAAGGGGTTATCTTAAATTAAGGGGCTGGGGTAACCCTTTGGTGCTCTTACTGTGCCTTTGGGTGGGGGTTAAATTGATTTCTTTTTGAGAGGTCTGAACATGGGGACAAAGGGTCCTTGCCTGTCTTCCGGGCTACAAACAAGCAGCTTTGCTGGGAGTCAGACCATTCCTCCTTCCTGCTCACGTATTGCTTTCCCTTCCTGACAGGCTTTCGGGGGCGAATGAAGGCGCTGCTCACTCCATTGCCAAATGCAGTGAAGAAATGCTGGGCAGGAACGGGGAGGCCAACCCTTCCGGCGCGCAGGGTCCCAACAGCAGCAGCAGTAGCAGCAGCAGCAGCAAAGGCAACAGTGGTGGGTCCAGCCCGGAGAAGACCCTCAGCGACAGAGCCGGACAGTTCAACAGCTGCCGGGAAGCCTCTGCGCGACAAGAGCCTTCCAGCCGCAGCCGACTGACCGTGGGCTCCTTCCCGAGTTCAGAGAGCTTTCTGGGCATGAAAGCTCGCGAACTGTTCCGCAACAAGAGCGAAAGCCAGTGCGACGAAGATGGAGTGGCCATCCACAGCCTCTGCAACACGTTGAAGACTGAATTGTGCAAAGGGCCCCGCCTGGAGGCCAGGGGGCTGCCAGGGCCCCCGGAACCCCCTCCCCCTCCCCGGAATCAGGAAAGCAGTGTTGAATCGCTTCACATAATGGACTACAACGAATCACATCACGGTCACAGCTAAGCCGGGAGCACGGGGAAAATCAGTGTTACTTTTCATAATCTCAGCATAGGACAGGGAGAGGACATGCGTTTAACTAAAAGCTTTCACGTTTTGTTCTAGACCCGCCGGCTCGTGCCACGGGAGCCGGACCGGTTTGTTTCGTTTGGGGTGGGTGGACTTGGCTGAGCAAATGCAGAGCGGATGTCAGGTCTGGAAGAGCTCGGTTGTCTCTTCCCCCTTTGCCCTCTTTCACACACACACACACACACACACCCTGCTTGTTCCTTGAGCTCTGGGGTTGTGATGGCTGGGGGTTTTGAACCCCTCATCTTCCCTTTTGTCTCTCTCTCAGAGCCTCATCCAGTGAACTTCTGTGCAATAGGAGGTTAGCAGAATGAACCGGGGGTGTGCCTAGCTGAAAAACTCTGCCCCATCTACCCTCATTCAGGGTCAGTAGCCACCTTGGCCCCCTCCCCCCCCCCACGGGTGACTTGGGTGACGGTTCTCATCCAAAGCAAGATTTTAAAGGGCCCGATTGCAATTTTCTCCTCTGCTTTTGAGTCTCCCGGCTCCTTCCTCAACCCTGCTCATCAGGACTCTGCTGGACTTTGCTCTGATGATGATGTGGTTTGAATCGTACCCATTAGGATTCTGATCTGCATTCTTCTCCTTCCTTTAAAAAAAGCAAAAAAAAAAAGGGGGGGTTATCTCCCCCGCTCTTCACATTTCTGCGCGTGGATAGGTTGTTTTCGCAGCTGCTGCTCTGAGAAATTTTGGAAGGTGTCCTGCAGAGTCCCCTAATGTTCTCGAAACACTATTTCTCTTTATACCCGTTCTCTTTAGCTGCATTTTTGCCCCCTAGTCTGATAAGCTGATACTGACCTGACTTGAGTTTGTGTCTCCTTTGTAAACGGAAAGGAAGACGCCGTCGTCTTGAGCGGGGAGGCTTTTATAACAGAAGCATGTAGAGATTTCTGGTGAAAACCACGGAAAGGTTAATTTTCTCCCCATCGCCCATCCCGCCCCCCTGCGTCTCCTCAAAACAGGAAGAATCCCCTTCACCGGGTTTGGGTTCTGTCTGAAGAGAAAAATGAGGTTTATCCTTTTTTTTTTTTTTTTTTATCCAACCTCTGGTTTCTTTGGTAACCAAGTATAAGATGCTTACGATCCCTTGCTGATAGCTGCCTGGTGTTCCAGTCTGGAAAACTGAAATGCATCAGCCTGAAGCAATTGTGGCGTCTCTGAAGAGCAGAGCGTGTTTGAACCTCCATCGGGAACGAGCGCGCGCACATAGGTTGGGTCTGTGACAATTCCCCCCCCTCTGTTCAGCAGATCTTGAAAGGAGACACTTGCCATCCCAATGTAGTGTTTTTTTGATACCAAAGTGGCCGTTTTGCGGTTGGATGCTGAAAAGTCTTTCCCCTTTGCGTTGTGTGTCTTTCAAGTTGTGGATCTTCTTAACTTTGGGTGGAAAGTGGGGCTGGGAGCTTGACTGCGGTCGAGGGGGGCTGTATCGTTCTTAAAATACATCCTCTCTGCCCCTTCCGTTCCTGAATGTTTTCTACCCCTGGGTTCTTATCCCACCAGGGCAGCCTTTGGGGCCTTCCTAATCAGAGAAAGCTGCTAAGATACCCCGTGCCCAAAATTGCCATCTCTTTCTTCTCCTCCAGTGGTCCTTTGTACATTTCTAAAACAAACCCTTTTTAAAATAATAATAATAGTAATAAATCTCTCCTTCAACCCTCGCTCAAGGTTTCTCTAAAGGCATGGTGGGTTTGGACAGCTGTCGCTCAAGTTGAAAAGACACGGGAAGCGTGCAGTGGGATTTAATGATGCTGTGTTCAGGTGAGGTCCCGGAACGGGTCGCATGATCTCAGAGTTAAATGGAAGTTGCTGTTGTCTCTGGGTGAAATTCCCATTCCCTAAAGGAAGAGAACAAGCCCGCTAGAGGCCGGCCTCTTTCTTCCCCATTCTACTCCTGAAATTGGCTAAAATTGGTCCTCCTCACTTAGTGGAACTGCGGTTCTCTGTTTGTAAAGCTAATGCTGACATTTGCAGTTCAACGAGATCAGAGGTTTCCAAGATTGTCTTAATTCGAGCCTTTATTGTACGGGGGCTTTCCAACTGGAATAGCCCCCTGCCCACCTGAACAGTGGTGCATCCACCTCTCCTTCTGGTGCGTAGACGGATCGATGGTGAATTTTGCTCCCCGATCCCTCTGTCGTCTTTCCACCTAAAGGGGAGCCAACCTCATCTCCCATTTTAGCTGCCCAGATTTGGCGTAGTCCGGAAATATCTCGTCTTCAGAGGTATTTCGGGAATGAAGGATGGGCCTGTTTGCCCTTATCTGTGCAGACTGTCCTATACTTACTGGAAGGAACTCTTTGGTTTTAGTGGTCAAAATATCCAACTTTATCTAACCATAGGGTTAGAACTGGTCCTTCGTTTGCTCTTAGAAAGGATACGAGTGACCTTGGCAGTGAATTAGTGGAATTACCCGGCCCCATTTTCCCGGCGGACCACAGAAATGATGGAGGAACAAATCATTGCCCCTTATCAAGCAACTCTTTGAATCATGGATGTAGCGTACATAATGAACTTCTTGTTTTCGTTTTGCCATTTGTTGGGAGAAAGTCTTGTTAGTGAAGCTGGAAATAATCCTTTTCTTTTCTTTTTTTTCTTTTTAAAAGAAAAACTGACTGCTTTTAGTTAAATCTAAAAAGAAAGAAACGAAGCTGTCAAGGGGTTAACGTTTCCTGCCTTGCTCTTTGTAAGCATGATTTAAAAAAGTAATTGCCTTTTTTTTAAAAGGAGAAGAAAAAAATGCCGCAAAGATGAAATGATGCTACGAAATGGTACAATCGAAACTAAGCAAGAAATTTCACAAGCAAAACCGAACGGAGGGTGTTTTGCTGTCCTTACTAGAATATTCTAATACATCAAGGCAGTTGCTTGTGTTTAACTGTGAACAAATAAAAAAAAAACATATTGTTTTTCATTCATCTTAGAGTGGGGTTTTTTTTTTTTGCACAAAACAAATCCTACTAGTTGGACGCCATCTTAGTTGTTTAAATAATCATTTTGGAAGAACTAAACTGGACTGATAACAGCAGAGTTGGCCAAGACATTGGTTTGTGGGGAAGGATAATTTCTGTTCCAGACTGATCAACTGGAAAGACTCTGCAGAAAGGGCTTTAAAATTAATAGAGTACGCTTGGGTACGCACCAGGCCTTGGGACGTGTTCGCAAGATCCATCACAGAACCTTGAGATGGTTACCAAAACGAAAACCTCAGCAGGCCAGTGGTTATACTGGATGGCAATAGAATCGTTTTTCTCTTGCTTCTGAATTTCCTGGGGACCTTTGCCCCAGAGTTTTTAAAGCAAGCTCCGTGATCTGTCTAGAGAAATCAGAGTTTTGTAGCTGGGTGTCCAGAAGGCGTGCGGTTCCTTGTATTTTTGCTAATCCAGTTCAGAATGCCAGTTCTGCATTACTTTTGGAGGGGATAGCCCCGGTAGCCCAACACGAGTCTTTCGGTTAACTAGAAGCAGGAGGGGATGTGCTACTGAAGAAAGGAGGATCCGAAAATAATCATGGATCAACTCCTTTTTCTAGGCAACGTGCCTGAGGTGGGATCTAGAGACGTGAAGTGCTGAAAAATACATTTTTCTTCTTTATAATATATATATTTGCTGCTTTCTCATTTCTAGGTGCACCTTTAGGTTCTCAAATTGCGTGCTGTGGCTGTTACGGTATTGAACCTGACCCGTAATCCAGGAATGGAGTGCTAGATCAGGGTTTTTCAAACGGCTCTGCAGAACGCCGGGGTTCTATGAGAAATGAAAGAAGTTCCCTTGAACATAGCCAATTTTCTGTCACTAGAGCTTTGCCTCTTGATCAAGGATTCTGGGACTTACTTTTTTTTAACAGGTTCTGTGGCCTGAAAAAAAAAATTGAAACCCTCTGTTCTAAAGCACCTTCAGTGTTCCCCAGTGCACGCACCCAGTTCATCATTTTTCTTGAGGCTGCTGGATTTTTAGAACATGAACCCTGATTTTTGGGGGGGGGGGGAATTGCATAAATGCGATCTTTTGAAAGCAAACGCAGATCCATTTTGCTGTGCAGATGCCAACGTGGAAGAGTCTCCTACAATCAGCCTTTAGAGGAATTAAAATTGATGCCAACAGTCTATGGTTTGCCAACCTTAAAACAGGGTGGTAAAAGATCCCATATAATATCTGGACTTCTTGCATAAAAGGTGGAGGAGTTGTTTATAGGATACTGAAGAAACCTGACACTAAACACCCCCCTTTAAAAAAAAAAAAAAAAAAGACTCAATGCTAGTTTAATATTCAAAGATGCTTTCTCACCTGGATCAAACTGATTAAATATGTATAATGCGGGAGAGAGGAAGCCAGCAAGATATAAAAAGAGAAAAATAAATTACCATCCCTGCTTTCTTGTGCTAAGCAGAATAGCTTGGTAGTTCTATAAACACCACCATAAATAATAAACATTTTATGCCACAGGAGCTGCGAGTGTTGGTTGAAAGGGCTCAATTATTCATTTATTTCGGGAGTGAAGGGGAAGAAACCCAACTACCCGTGGTGCGTTCTGGCTTACTCTCGATTACTGAGGTGTCAGTAGAAAAGGGAAAGCTCTTTTTTAAAGGGGGGGGCATCTTAAAAATACAGTATCAGAAAGCAGAGGATCCAAAAAGCTTCTGTCTATCATAAATGCCAAGATCTGCAGTTCTGCACGAAAAGGTCCACTGCTACGGGGGGAAATATCTGACCTTGTGTCCTTCATCTCAGAATTATAAAGTGCCAGGGTTGAAAGGGACCTTGGAGGTCTACTTCAAACCCTCGCCTGGTGCCTACAGCATCCCTGACCGATGGCCACCCAGTCTCTGTTTATACAGCCTATAAAGGTGAGTTTACCTGCAGACATGCTGGTTCCGCCACTGAATACCTCTTAGTTCTCAATTTAGCGGTGACCCTCCTGATCTTCCCATAGAAGATGAGGAATAGCTCTTGATCATCTGTCCCGAATCAGTGCCCAAGTTTCCTTCTCAACAGGCTGGATGCATTTTGCTAAAAATACAGCAGGCCTCAACGTGGCCCTGGCAGATCGGAGTCTCGTATTGTGGCTCAACTTCCTTTTCTACCCCGGGTACCCAGTGGGCGACTTTGAAAACTTTCAAGCAGCAACATGTACAGGAATCAGAGCTTTCAGGGAAGCAGCCGGGAGCCACGGAAGGCTCTGAGCTACCACGTTTTCTCTCCAGAGAAGGCTAAAAATTGGAGATGGGTGGCATACAAATTTAATAAATACATAAAATAAAAATTGGCGTTTGGGGCACCCTGTTGGCCAAGGAGAGGCTTCCCTGTAAGAAAGGTCTGCACTTCTCCAAAAACGCTTTGAGCGATGCTTCAAATTTATCCCTGCTCCCCGTCGTCCTGCCCTTTCTCAACTGCACCCCGAATCACTCAAGCGAACCCCCCCCCCAACGCGGTTACTTTTACGGTTCAGCATCTCGCGCAAACGCAAAACGCGGCGGGTCCCTTCAGTGGTTTATCTACTGGGCACCCGGCCACCGACTGTCTCCGGTGAACATTCTAGCAAAGAGCGTTAAATGCAAGGGAAATGGCTTTATTCAGAAGCGTCTTCTGGTTGGAAGCAAAAAAATGGCAGAAGTTAAGAAGCCTGTGAGAAGGGGGGGAAAAAACACACAATCAGACCAAGAGCAGAGTTGGGCGGATGAGATCTAATATTACACGCTCCTTTGTTTTTAACAGTTCAGTTTTTTTCTTTTTGCCCCTGTGATAGACGTTAAGGTGTGAGAGAATGGAGTTTTCCAAAAGGTGTAGGCTTGGCTTCAAAACGTGGCCCTGTCTGGTCATAAGGTTGCTTTTTATATTAAAAAAAAAAAAAAACTCTTCTTCCCCCCTCCCGCAACTCCAATGCTTCTTCAGGATGGTGAATGGAGTTCTTCCCCTCCCTGACTGCCAAAGTGCTCCAGCTCTGGAATCGGGTTTGGAAAACCAGTGGGGACCTCCAGGGGGGATCTGCTCTAGGGCTGGGCATGGTTTTGACTGGGGAAGGGGCGGGATTCGGCTGGAAGGGCGGGATTCGATCTAGTCACCCTTGGAGTTGAACAATCCGGGTGGATCGCCCGACCGAGTTGGCCTGTTCAGTTGGCCCAGGTGTGGACGTGCGTGTAACGTCAACCGTCTGATTGGATGGGACTCAACTGCAAACCTGAACCGAATCAGACTGCAAAGCCTGACAGCGTTTTTTTACTGATTGGTGAAACCCTATTTCTGAACCCAAGAAAAAAGCATCCGTGGGAACGGGTCTTCCTTACGACCCAATCTGGGAAAGAAGTCTCTGTTGGCCAGTTGGCCAACGCCATCTCCAGTCGTTCAAGGGGAATTCAAGCCAGAGGGCTAAGCTGGGATTCCATTAAACGTTGCTTTGGCTCCTGACCTGGGTTTTACATGAATAAATGCAAACTGGAGGGGAGGTTGTGCTACCCGTCCAGCCAACATGGCTTGGTAGGTCATCCCGTGGTCTCGCCCTACCTTTATAGCCGGGGCTGGGGCTGCTGCACGAGACAATTACCAGGAAGTTAAAACTGATCATCCCTAAAGAGGGAAGGGCAACGGCTGATTGACACAACCAAGCATGGTCTGTCTTTTCTGCACCGTTATCAGAAAAGGCCATCGCTGAAGCAAATCCAGGGAGACTATTTTAATTTCTAGATGCCATGGAAGGACGTGGGTTATGCTGTTTCCTTTTTCCCCCCGTTCACACTCTCTCTCTCTCTCTCTCTTTTTTTTTTTGGTTTTGTTTTTTTCAAAAAGCATTTTTACCAGGCGGTTTCCAGGGCCCGTCGAGGAATTTGCAGATGGCTCGCCCAAGGCCACCCATCTGTTTTATTTTAGCCGCCCGCCTATTCTCCCGCTCCTGAGCCTTATCCATCAAACTAAGTGAGGTCTGGGTGGCCTCAGTGACGAAGGTGGGCTGGCCAGAGAGGTCGAAGCCCTTCCTGGTCCGAGTTGGCAAGTTTATCTGCTGGAGGATGGCTGCTTTGCGGGCACTCACGCTCTGCAACATGTTTCGTGGGAGTTTTTCCGTGTGGGCCACCCACTCCTTCATGCAGTCCAGGATGATGGGGATGAGGCTCACCACACCGCCGTAGTGGTTTCGGGCTTCATCACAGCTGAGATGGTTCACCACATCGTGAGGATATCTGTTGCATGTTTTGGAGGAGGAGGAGGAAAAGGAGAAGGAGATATGGGTATGGTAGGAGGAGAAGGGGAAAGAGAAGGAGATATGGGTATGGGAGGAGGAGGAGGGGGAGGAGGAGGAGGAGGAGGGTGAACTACAACTTTCCAATCAACAGATCCAACGTTTGCACACCATGCTATGCTCTGGCACCTTTAATATGGGGTTCTTCCCCAAGCTACCAAAGTGGTGGAGAGCTTCTGCCTTTTAGGATCAACCATCAACAGTAAACGAACAAGCAGTCACGAAATACACCACACGGTAGGGCGGCCTTTGTAGGTACAGACGCATCAAATGCCGTGATGTGTCTCTAGCTACACAGATCAGAATCATGCAAGCCATGTTGTTCCCTGTGACACACCATGGAAGCGGAAGCTGGACTTTGAAAAAGCTGGAGAGGAAAAGTATTGTCATCTCTGAACTGTGATATTGGAGAAGATTCCTGAGAATATTGCGGACAGCCAAGAAAATGAACAAATGGATTGTCAAACAATTCAACCCAGAGTTCTCACTTGAGGCACAAAGGACCAGGCTCAAATTATCCGACTTTGGACACATTATGTGAAGACCCAGTTCTCTGAAAAAGGCTCTAATGCTGGGAAAGGTGGTAGGAAAGAGAAGAAGAGGATGACCAGCAGCAAGGTGGATAGATTCAATTACAGTAGTGATGGGGGCAATCTTGGAAGACCTGAAAGACCAGATTTGGGACAGAACCTCCTGGAGAAAGTCTGTGTCATTAGGAGTCGAACATGACTTGATGGCATGTCAATCAATCAGTCCTCCACAAGCTACAATCAGCTGGGTCAGTGCAAAACAGAGACCCAGGAACTGTGGCTTACAAGCCACAATGTCTGGGTCAACTTACCAGGTTAAGCCAAACAAGGGAAAGAACCGTGCTCAAGCCTGGGGCCCCTGGGGGTGTGATGGAGCCCAGTTCCTGGTTTTGTAGATGGACGTGTTTGTGGTTTCTCTTGGCTGCTGTGTGTTTTGGGGGGGTTGTATATGTTTTCACTATTTTTCATATTGCTAACCCGCCCAGAGCCACGTATTTGAGATGGGTGGCCGTTATCAATCTAGTAAACCTGTCGAGAAACCAACTTAAGCCTGGACGGATGCTTTCGGCAAGCCAGAGACTTACTTGGCGCGGAGGCCGCTGAGGTCGTTGCTCTGGCTGACATACATCTTGCATTTCTCCAAGAGTGCGTTGGTCATGCTGTTTCCAGGGTGCAGGGACTCCAGCCTGTTGCAAAGCTTGTTCAGTTCGCAGCAGATGTTGAGAAACATCAGGAGAATGCGCTTGTCTGTCGTGTGGTTGCAATAGTGCTCCATGTATGTCTGCACCTGTTGGGCGAGCAATGCAAGGATGGGAAGCACGCAGTCCATGAGAAAAGACCCCGGGACTATTGTTTTTGCACATGGTAACCGCGGCGAGACTATTACATGCACCAAGATGGAAAGGTTCTGAACTGCCCACGAGGAAGGAACGGCTGGTGAAGACGACGGGATTTGCAGAAATGGCAAAATGGAGTTGTTTGATTAGGGAAAAGACAGCCACATTTATTAGGGACTGGAAACCCTTTATGGACTTTTTGCTGAAAATGGAAAAAGAGGAACTGGTGATTTATGGGTTTCCTGATTAGAAATATGAGAAGAAGGGAACGATGGAGTAACCTTAAACAAGGAGGAGAGATGATAAACGTATAACTGCTGTAAAGAAGATCGGAAGATCCTTTTTCTTGTCTTCTTTTCCTTTCATCTATTTACCACTTTTTCCCCCTTTTTCTTAAATTTGTACCACTTTTATTACTGTATAAAATTCTTGAATAAAAATTAATAATAATAATAATAATAATAATAATAATAATAATGGATGCAACCACAATGGGGCCTGGCAACTTGGTTGCTACATGAAACCGTGACAGTGCTTATGATCTGACTTCAGCTTTCCTTGGCTTTACAGACCTGAGAAGGTCGTAAATGCGAGGAGCGGTCGCAAAGTGACATTTTCATCACTGTCGTAACTGCAAACGAGGTAGTCGTTAAATGAGGATTACCTATATCTTGAGATTCTGAAGTGGGAGAAGCCTGAAGGGAGAAAACAACCAAGCCTTTTTGGCTGTATTTCCACAATATGCTTGAACAGGTCAGAGAACACGATACATGCTTAGCCTTGCTCCTATTAATTTGGGAGTGGGCTTGCTAAACAGGCCGTGCCAACCCCACCTCCTTCGACACTCCATTACCCAGAACCAAAGGTAAATTCATTAACCAGGTTAAGCATATTGCACGAAGGCAGCCGGTCTCCGGCTGGCACTTCGGCAGAGCCAGCTATGAAAAAACCAGACTTGCAAAACAAGGAAATGAAGCCGGTACTTATCTAGTGAGCTCGGTCCCTGCAACGCTGCTTTCCCCCCCCCACCCGAAGAAGTTACGAGTGGAGAAAGTTTCGGGGAAAGATAATGGGGTCCAGAGGTTGCCAACTCCAATCTGACACCGACCAGCATTCTGCTGCAAGCCGCTATTCTCAGTTGGCTGCTGGATGGGTCTCGGGTCAGCTGTTAGCAGAAAAGCTCGCTCCCTACACAAGAGCGGCTCCTGGTCGTTGCCGAGCTTAATTGGATCCCGGGGTGGCCAACTCAGCAAGAAAAGCGAGCGAGCGAGAGACCTCCCTTTTAAGTGGCCCCACCAGATTTCAAACTCTTCCTCCTGCACATCCCTGCTCACACCCACGATGGGGGGAATGCGGTAGATCAAAATAAAATGTCTCTCTCTGTGGGTCTCTCTGGAAAGAGAAAGAGGGCTGTGCTGGTACATCAGCCTCCAAGAAAGGTTGGGAAGAAGGTGACTCGGACCTGCCCCCTTGGCTCCATCCAACGGTGTGGAATATTGCCTGGTGGTTGAGCCTGGGTTATGATTAATTCAACCACAAGGATTATTGCCCGGTGCCTCTCTCTTGCGTGGCTGCGGATCCAGGGCTCAGAACTCACCCCTAATTCATATAAAGGGGTCCCCCTTTGGGTAAAAGTTATTTCACATCACAGTCTTCCTTTGGAAGTCTCTGGATCTGGTAGACATGGATGATTCTTGGAGTCAGGTATAACAGCGTGTGCGAACGGAGGAAGAGGATGTGTTGGCTCTTACGGCTGCCATGAATGGATGGATCAGTGGGTGGGGTGGGGGTGGAGAGAGAGAGAGAGAGAGAGAGAAAGAGGTGGACGGATGGATGGATGGAGATACAGATACAGAAGCTGGATGGATGGAGATAGAGGATGGATGGATGGATGGATGAGATAAAGAGGAGCGGGAGGGATGGATGGATGGATGGACAGATAGGCAGACAGATAGTACAAGCCTGAGAGTACACTCACTTTCTGACCTGAAGATTTCCCAACTTAGAGAAGCATTTTATCACTAAGAATCCCTTAACTTAGATATTCGGGCTGCACATACTAGTTTATATACTTCCTACTTTTTTTTTTTTTGTATTGAGTAAACAGACGCCTAGGAATTCATGAACGCATCCATGTCGTTTTCTTAGTAAAGAAACAGAAGTACTTTACTCATTCTGGTTTGTAAGGAGGGATGTTTTTGACTCCCTCCACCCCTCCTGCACAGAAGCGCAAGGTTGAGGGCAAGAGAGAGTTAACGGCTAAAGACAAACTACCCTTGGATCATCATCAGATGCAAAATTCAAACTGGAGGATTCCCAGATCTCAGTTTAAGCCAGACCAGTAACAACGGGATGGGGGCTGGATAACTCTGCATAAGGCTTAAGGTCCCCAACCCCGAGTATTTAAAGTCAGTATTCTGTAATCCCTCTAATAAATAACTTTATCCTCAAGGTTTGTCTTGAAGGGAGCAAATGGGCCCACATGAACAGATCAACCCCCATTGTCACGGGAGGTCTTCCCAGTGGAAGTCCACCCCACAAAGGCCCGCTTTCACACACAGACACACACAATTTGAAAATGCCCACCCTTTCGTATGCACACCTCTCTCTGCTCACATAACATGCTTATCTTGGTTACTTTTCTGGAGGTGTCAAAAACTCTAAATCATAAAGGTACCCAACGGGTTGGATTTGAGTTGCCCAGTGTTGTCCAAACTTGCCCACTTTAAGATGAGTGGACTTCAACTCCCAGAATTCCCCA